GGGGGGATCTTGTGGCTGCCTACAACCTTATCAGGGGCCAGCAGCAGGGACTCGGGGAAAGTCTTCACCAGGGCCCCCCTTGGGGTCACCAGGCACAATGGCCACAAGCTGAGGGAGAATAGGTTTAGGTTAGATATTAGGAAGAACTACTTCACTGTAAGGGTGGCCAGAGCCTGGAATAGGCTTCCCAGAGAGGTGGTCTCTCGCCTTCCCTGGAGATCTTCAAGAAGAGACTGGATAGGCACCTGGCTGAGGTCTTGTGACCCCTGCCACCCCCAGTGCTCTTTCCTGCCCATGGCAGGGGTCGGACTTGATGATCTGGCTAGGTCCCTTCCCACTCATTGATTCTGCGATTCTTTGTGGACACAAACGATAGGAAAGGGCTGCACAGACTGCACCAGCATTCCTAAAGACTAGTTAGTTTGAGCAGCACAAGACACATCTATAGAGGCAACTAAAATCAACTCCACAATATACTCAACTCCTTTAAGCTGACATCACAGCCTTCTAGAGGAATCCAGAATTCTTTTAATTTGAGCATTGTTTCTTTTCTGGATCGCAGAGTCTGTCACCTGCACCATTCAGTAGCGTAAGAGTGATGCTGTAGCTGTGATGGTCCAGAAATTATGCAAGAAGCAAGGATTTCTTAGAGTGATATCTTTTATTGGAACAATTGTGTAGTTGGGATAAAGTCAGGCAAGCTTTCAGATGCAAGACATTCTTCCTCAGGTCTTTGATTACAGGAAACTAGGCACTGCAAGTTAAGCATGGTGCAGGGGAGGGGCTGAGAGAGTCTCAGGTACAGCAGACACAGTAAAAGAAATAAGTTGAGTACTAGGAGATCAAAGCCAATCAAAAGGGGGAATGAGGGAGGGGGTGAGTCTCCTTGTGTATAAAGTATTCAGGAGTTAACTATAATGGGTCATAAATCCATATTGGTACTTAGTCCTTGGTTCTTGGCATCCAGTTAGCTTATAAATTTTTGTTCCCAAGTTTACGTTTTAACATGCCATTCCCAAATTATAATATACCCGATCCAATGCACCAAATACCCTCACAGAAACTACACATGTGAAACTAAACAGCTACGTATCAGAATTAACTATTCACAGAAAAAAATATAAAGGACAGAGACAGACACATTCACCATTAGGAGCACATTTGTCACAGAACAAACACTTTGACCTCACTATCCTCATGCTCAAGGGAAATCGACCCAAGTCCTTTAGAAGTCAAATTTGAAAACAAAAATTCCAGGGAGCGAGGCAGGCAGCAACTGATAGAAACTAACTTTAAACCAGTTATGGAACGCATCTGCCCTCTTTACAAGGCTGTGAAATTATTTTGCTGCTTCTCTTTTTATATTATACACAGGCCCCCTGAGTGGATGTCAATATAATCCTGTAATTGGGATCTGAAGAATTATGTCTGATCCCAAAAATTGCATGTCCTGCCATACACATCTGGCACAACAGAAGGCACAACTTTTAGGATTGCTGCTCCACAGTAATTCTCATGTCTACATGTGCAGGGCTATTAGGCTGGAATAAATTAATATACTCCACAGCACTGCATGTGTAGATGCTGGCACAGCTGGCTGGGCCATGAGGATGCTTCAGTGAGGGGGCTGCCTGCTGGCTAGCCCTGCATTTGAGCACCCTCATGCCCCTGCCAGCCCCAATACAGCATACTGAACCATGTCAGAATAGCCCCAGGCTGGTAAGCTGAATGCCTGGGCCTCCTGCCAGCCAAAGCTGCTCTGACCCAACTCAACATGCTGCGGTCCTGGGCACTTTTGAATAGTGCTCCCAGGAGCAATAAACTCCAGAATGATATGTGCCAGAATTCATTGCTGCATGCCAATAGCATGTGTAGATGCATCCAGAATGACCAAGCTTGGTTTGGTGATAAAGGCTTGGCCAAGCTTATTGCCTATGAGGCACCAATTCACTAACACTCCTATCCAAAAGGTTACAAGATGTTAGTCCTGGATACTTGTGGTAAAAAACAGGTATAATTTGTGTATATAATGCCCCTAAGCCACTCGATCTCAAACTTGGTTGTACCAGGTCCCATTCGTAAACATCAATGGCCAGTCCCAACCCATTACGCCTCACTCCTGAGCTACTACCTGCTGCATGTGGGGCAGGGGTGATAACTCTGCAAACCTGCAAGGGAAAAGCCATGGTTTCCCATGTTTTTCTTCTTTAAAGAATCCATTTTTAAAGTTTGTTTGCAACCCTTTCATATATTGAGACTCACTTTTAGGTTGCAACCCATAGGTTGAGAACCACTGGCACAAGCCTCCTGCAAAATTTCAAAAATTTCTGTTCCTGGGATAGAACAGATCCCTATTCAGGGATCAGGAAATTCTGTTTACATCAGTTATCTAGATAACAAACCTCAGCATCTTAGAGTTACCCTCATCCTCATCCCTTTCGTTATTTTTGTGTGTGAATGTTCTGAACACTCTGACATCAGTCTTATCAATCATTCAATCAACTTTTTCAGACGTTTGTAACACCCAACTTTGAAAGACACTTCTTCAGCTATGGCCCACACCTTTCAGTATTCAGTCAGACTCTCCTGGGTGCAAGGTCAGTCTTTGGTCAGACCTGCTTTGGTCAATGCTCCAGCAAAGCCTTTATGAGTTGTATATGCATTGATTAATGCTTGTACTGACAAATGCTTTTATTAAATCAATACTCCAGCAAGGCCTACATTTATCACTGTGAAACCAAGGTGTCTTTCTACCTCTGTCGAAAAAAAATGTTTCAACAGAATTTACCTTGGAAGACCCACGTCTTTTAAAATGCTAGGACTAATTCATAAGCAATTTCAGTTTGGCATCCATTACGTTCTGTTCCAAGGCATGGTGGAAGGGACAGAGGGTGTGTGTCTGTGGGTGTAAGAGAGAAGCGATTACTGGCTAGTTTTAAAGTTTTAAGACATTATTTCAAAGCACAGGATTGGTTTGTGAAATGGACTGTAGAAGTTCACATCCAGAGTACTTTTTCCCGTTAGAAGCATCACTGCAAACAAACAGCTGTTGGACTCAAAAGAAACCACCTGCACATTTTCTGTATATTTTTCCTACAAAAGCAACAGTGGTAAGGGGCAAGAGAGAGAGAGAGAACTATTTTGCTCAATTAGTATGTCTATTAGATTTACTACCAGCTTTTATTGTTCAGACTCACTCCTAAAGTATTTAGTTTCTTTTAGGAAACAGCTTCAGAATTTGACACAAATGGAGCCAAGAGAACCCAGTGTCAATATTTGAATGTTTCTTTAATAAGAAAGCATATAATGCCAGGAAATTCTTGTTTATGGCATCCTACTTCATAAAGTATGCAATGACTGCACATAAATGCACTGCTCATTATGCTTCCTTGGTCACAGATGGCAAGTTTCCATGTTGCAAATGCAAAACTACTACAACTTTCCCTGATGTCCTCTCCAAATCTGTGAACCTAAAAGGTCTTCTTTCCCCCCACATTTAACTAATTAAGCCAAGGATCTTCTAACAGTTTAATTTTATGGTCAACTCACTTTTAGGAGATTCATTAATACCCCAGCTCAGTGCTCCAATTTCTTTTCTATTTACAGTCCACCAGAAAGGGTTTCACAGCTTGAAGACCACTGTCTTAAATAGTGAAAAATTATGATGCTTGTTTACAGGCAGAAGATTTATGATGTTCATTTATGGGCAGGATTTATTTACAGGCAGAATAAGTTTTGCATTATAACTGCCTACTTGCCTACCCTCTTTATGGTAGAAACCAAGTTTTTGTTCCTTTGCTGGCCAGGCTCTCATCCGATAAAACCAAGCAATGCAGGAGGACGCACACTTGCACCTCACACAGCATCCTCCTCTTTAGCAGCAATAGGATCTTCTCAAAGAAAATATATAGTCTTAAATGGGTATACATAAGTGTTTATTATCAGTTGAAAGGCCTTCATTTTCTAGAAGTGAAACAGATTTGCTCATTTCAAAGAATGTTATATGTCTGACACAGTTGCTACTGACATAGTTTCCCTGCACTGGGAATGAACATCTAATGCTTAGATTCCAAAGCCATCTATTGAAGATGCAGAACCTGTAACTTAGTGCATCAGAATCAGCTGAAGGCTCCGTAAAAGGAAGTCCCCAGTTAAGAGTCAGTTAACAAAGAGCTTTTCATTACCAAAAAGTGAACATAAAAATGCTGAAAAAATGTTGGCTTGAAAAAGTGCTTTCAGAATTTACTGTACACACGGTAACAATTTATTTTATAAGCTGCTTCGACATGCAGGCAAGATCTTACATTTGGTGTAAAATATTTATACACATTCTTTACAATTTGTACATATTTAAATGGCTGTACCACAACACTGCTCTATGGAATTTGGAAGAGAACTAAATTAGCAGGGAAAACAGAGTTTATAAAATAAGAAAGAAACTTATGACAAGTATCTGGATTCAGACCTAGTTTTTTTGTTTTGTTTTTGGTTTTTATATTAGACAGACCCAGATTTTTCTTTATTTTAAAGAAAGAAAGAAAAATGTAAGGACACAAAAACAGCAATGCACAATAAAGTAAGGCAACTATAGAATCAACATAATATACCCGTCACTTAGAATGGCTTTGTGGGTAAAATGAACATAAACAATTTAAGGAATAATTTAAGGGAAAGTTTTAACAAAAGCTGTGTTTTGGCATCCTTGCTTGTTTGTGGCATTACATGAATTACCATCTCGTAACCACACCAAGCTGTTTTTCCTAAAGTCCAGACTTTTAGTAGCATTTTGGCAGTCGAGAAAAGTGACTCCATGCCACCACTTCTGTGCTCTGAACACTACAGTCCTATTTTTAATAAGTTATTTGCCACACAAATTCCAATTTTATTCAACACCTCAAAGGTCACTTTTTAGTTTACACAAGAAACTCTTCCTTTTAGCTACTACTGATTAAATTAGGTTTCCTTTTATTAAAGCTGAAATGGAGCAAGTAGCACTTCATGCTACTATGTGAAGACCTGAGTTGGCAGTAATTCTGGGCTGTCTACCACCCTGGGTCAGAAGTGATACTTTGCCAATACCCTTAGACTCCTGAGTGGGCAAAGAGGGAAGATGGCCATTACATGGCACTGAGAAGCACCAGTGTATGGCTGCATAATATTTGAGAGGGTGACAGAATGCTGGTATTAAAGAATATTTTTCCAGCTTCCTGGAATGGCTCTTTCCTTAATTAAAGTTTCCTTGCACAGTGCATGACCCGGAAGTGAGAAAAAGAGAGAGTGCTAAACATTCTCAAACTCTGAAGCTTTGTGCCACAAGAACAGAATATTAAGTGATTATGGGAGAGGGAGTGAACTATCATTTTGCCAGTTATGGAGACTGCATGTCACTGACTATATGCTGCACCTATGATTAAAAAGATCACTGAACAGAACATTCAAGAGGTTATCTTGAATGTGTAGCTGTAAAACGTATACAGACTTTACTTAGTAGCTGGAAAAAAAAATACCAAAGGGCAGGTTTTTATTAGGTCACTTTTCAGCCTTATCTGCCTACCTGTTTTTAAAATACCTAATCATCTGACACTGAGTAAGAATAAATTGGAAGAACTTATGATAACCTGTAAGTCTGAATGTAGTCCATGGCAACAGACTAGTTTGACAAAATCAATTCCTAAACTTGACAGCACCTTCCAGCACAAGAAGGCTTTGAGGGAAGGCATTCAAGGTAAAAATAACCTAAGCTTCAGATGCATTTAGGCTGATGAAGTAAACATGTTAAAGTTTTTGCTTTTTTGCAACTTAGACTGTTTGCTTGGGATGGCAAAGACTATCAAGCTTTTATTGGCGTTGCCCCCCAAAACCAGAAAAGCACTTTGGAAGGTTCTTCTTCATTCACCCCTGCTTATTCCTACATCACTGGAAAGCGGCTGAGTGCCTGCCTCAGCTTTTGTGCAATCTGCAAAGAAAAAAAAAATGAAAAAGGCACATCAACAACATGATTATTTTGCATATTTGAGAATACCTGGTTTTCAGTCTTTTTTTTAAAGCTCTAAAGAATTCAACACAGTCATTCCTTAGTTATTAAAATAACTATGAAAACTTTAGGTAGATGCAATGCTTTCACTTACCCCTCCATCAGAATCAATTTTGTAATTAGAACTGATCTAATATGAATAACCCTGGACCCCACCACTAATGGGCAGTGGCAGTGCAGACTTCCTATACTGCCATATCAACATGTCTCAACTTTGTGTTTGAGTAACATGTTTCAGTTGCAAGAGATAATTCAATTTCCAAGATACATTAGTGCTGTTCTGCCAAGAACAACACTACTCATTAGTGCTAGCTGAAGTGATGCTTCTGGAGATGTAGGTGTCCAGAGAAGATAACTTAGTTGACATACTCCACAAAACCCACTGATCCCATCTAGACAGGAACAACTACTGGTTACTACCCACCAATGGCTGCTAAAAGAGTCCATAACCCACTAATTCAGCTCCTCTTTCTTATCTTCTACATTTTTAAATTTCTTAGATTCTAAAGAGTTTTAAACTTGGTTTTACTATAACAATTCTGGGTCAGATTCAGAGAGGAAGAGTGAAAAAGTTCAATTTAAATGCAAACTTCTTGGGACCTCTCTCCAAAGCACAGGGACTACACATTTAATTTAAGTCAAAAGGCAGAGAAGAGATGCTACAACTTCCCATAGTCCTATCGCCATATTACTTAGAAAGCTCACTCAGACAGGCTGCAAGATGGAAATGAAAGAAGAATATCAGGAGACAGTTAAGCATGCACTTTAAGTTGTACCATCCTTTGGCTCCTCTATCTAAAGTCTTATCAGTTTAAACTAAAAAAGGGGCGGGGGTGTAGCACTCCATGTGAAGGAGAGCTACACGTCTCTACAAGCTGAGATTGGCACCTAAGGAAGATGACTGGAGACCCTTTGGGTTAGAATATGAGGGGAATGTGGCAAAGGGGATACAATGGTAGGAGTCTACTACAGATTTCCAAACCAGGAACAAGTGCTTGACCAACAATTCGCCAGGGAACTGGCTGAGGCCGCACGCTCTTGGTGCACGGCCATCATGACAGACTTCAACTACCCGGACATCTCATGGGATGAGCACTTGGCCAAATCTAATTGGTCGCAAAGCTTTCTTACATGCGTGGATGAGTTCTACCTGTCCCAAGAAGTTTACAGGCTGACAAGAGGCAAGACACTGCTGGACCTGGTACTGGCCAAAGGGGATGATCTAATCAGCTACCTAAGAATCGAAGGGATGCTGAGTGACAGTGACCACAAGTTGATCACATTCACTATCCATTGCAAAGCTGGCAAGTCAGCCAGCAATGCAGTAGTCCTTGATTTTAGGAAAGCTGACTTTCCTAAGCTCAGGAGGCTTGTTTTTGAGGCTGAGAGACCAGGATTTCACAGGAAGGGTAATTCATGGAGTGGTTGCTCCTTAAGTAAGTGATTCTAGAGACACAAGGGGAATCCATCCCCCACCCATAGGAAAGGTGGTAAAAGGGCTCAACAACCCCCTTGACAACAGGGAACTCATGGACCTCCTACATCTAAAAAAGAGAGGTGTATAATGGATGGATGACAGGAAACACCGTTAAGGCAGAGAATACTGCACTGGTCCGCACCTGCATGGAGTGAACTAGAAAAGCCAAGGCTGCAGCTGAACTCCATCTGGCTATGTGAATCAAGGACAATAAAAAGTCTTTCTTCAGATATGTGGGGAGTTGAAAGAAAAACAAAGGTAACATTGTTACCCCTGCTAAATCAGCTGGGGCAGCTGACTACTGACACCCAGGAAAAAACCAATCTGCTTAATGATTACTTTGCATCAGTTTTTCACCAGCCCAAAGGGACCCCACCCCCATGGTGAACATGATGTGGGATGACCAGGGTGAAGATGAATATATGCCCATCATTAGCATGGATCTTGTGATGGAGCATCTTGAGAGGCTGGGCCCCCATAAATCAGCTGGTCCAGATAGCTTGCTCCCAAGAGTGTTAAAAGGAACTGGCGAGGATATTTGAGAACTCTTGGCACTTGGGCGAGGTACCAAAGAGGGCCAATGTGGTGCCCATCTTTAAGAAAGGGAGGAAAGACAACCTGGGAAACTACAGGCCAATCAGTTTGACCTCAAGCCCTGGGAAAATTTTGAAAAAAAAAAAATCAAAAACTATTCTTGACAGGCTAACAGAAGGCAACATCCTGAGGGACAGCCAACACGGGTTTGTTGCGGGTAGGTCTTGCTTGACCAATCTCATTTTCTTCTATGACCAGGTGACGTATCACTTGGACAAAAGGGAAGACGTGGATGTCATATATTTGGACTTTTAAAAAGCCTTTGATCTGGTGTTCCATGATGTCCTCATGGAAAAATCGGGCAACTGCAGACTCAGCTACTCCACAGTCCGATGGCTGGGGAACTGGCTCTGAGGTCGGACCCAGAGTGGTAGTTGACGGAACCGAATCAACATGGCACTCAGTGACTAGTGGAGCCCCCCAAGGCTCTGTTCTTGGGCTTGTATTCTTTAATGTCTTCATAACGATCTGGACACTGATGTCAAAAACAGACTGGTGAAGTTTGCTGGTGACACCAAACTTTGGGGTAGAGCATCCACACTTGAGGATACACTGGTGATCTGGGCTGACATCAACAGGCTTGCAAGGTGGGCAGATGAAAACCTGATGGCATTCAATACAGAGAAATGCAAGGTGCTTCAACTAAGGAATAAAACCTGCATCAAACTTATAGGCTCAGCAATGCTATTCATTACCACCAGGACTGAAAGAGACTTGGGGGTCATGATTGACCACAAGATGAATGAGTACCACCTATGAGATACTGCAGCTGGCAAAGTGAACAAAAAACTCTGGCTTGCATCTACCAATGCATCTCGAGCAAGACCCAGGATGTCATCCTTCTGCTGTACTCTGCCTTGGTGAGGCCACAGCTGGAGTACTGCATCCAATTCTGGGCTCCACAATTTAGGAAGGACATGGAGAAGCTTGAAAAAGTCCAGAGGAGAGCCACACACGATCAGAGGGCAAAAGAACAGGCCTTATGAAGAGAGGCTGCAAGCTATGGGACTCTTCAGCCTGAAGCAGCACAGGCTCAGGGGTGACTTGGTGTCAGCCTATAAGTACATAAGGGGTGTGTGTCAGGATCTGGGGGAATGCCTCTTCACCAAAAGCACCGCAGGGGATGACAAGGCCCAATGGTCACAAACGCCTGTAAGACCGTTTTAGGCTGGACATGAGGAAAAACTTCTTTACTGTCTGAGCCCCCAAGGCCTGGAACAGACTCCCCTCAGAGGTGGTGCAAGCACCTACTCTGGACACTTTCAAGAAACATTTGGACATTTATCTTGCTGGGATCCTTTGACACTAGCTGACTTCCTGCCCCTTGGGCAGAGGGCTGGACCTGATGATCTTACAAGGTTCCTTCCAACCCTAATGTCTATGAAACCTACAAACTCACTTACCAATGAGAGGTGCTACATGTCTAAAAGGCTGAGACTAGAAGAAAAAGGCTGGTAGAGACGAAACCTAACAGAGTTCTTCCCCTCAGTCAACAGAACCAGAACAGTAGCAATATTCCTTTTCTGCTGCTTTCTAGCATTCAACATACTGTACGTGCTGGGGAGGAGAACTGTAACACAGACACCCAAGACCTCTTTGGACATCCTTCCAAATCCAAGTGTGTTCTAGGGCACTGGAAATTTTCTTAAATTCATTAGCTTGTAAGCTTTCCACAATATCCTAATGTTTTATTTCTGCTTTGCAGAAAGGCTGACCTCCCACTCACTTCCTGTTTACAAATACTTAGATCTCTGTGGTGGCTTCAAATTTGCCTTTTAGATAATGAGAACCTAGAGAACTTCAGTGTCATTTTCAATTGTTTGCAAGAATTTTTTCTTAAAAAGAACTTAAAACAGGGAGAAGGAATATCAAAGTCAGACACACCACAAAAATAACTAATTTAAAGAAGATTTAGTGTTATTGAACTATGTGTTTTAGTTTTAGAAGTTCAGGCTGATCACCTAAAGAGCAGTTACATGACTAGAGGCAACCAGAGTTTCTGCAAATGCTTAGTAATAAACACATTCTGTATTCTGTTAGGATTAAATGCAACTGTATTTTTCTTTAGCATTTGGACAATTCTCAATTGCCAAGGGAGTGATACACCTTAAACTCCATCAAGGAAATAAAATTTTACCATTTGAAGGTTTACTCTTTGGGCTAAGATGATCTTGGGTGTCAACTAACAAGCGTGGATGCTGCTTGCATTAACACATGGTAAGATTAAGCTTCTTGAATGCTTCCTTATATCCAGCAGTTACATCAGTGCATGTTTATGGATACTGACATGTTTTAAATGTACCTGGGTTTCATGAAGCAATCAACTCATTTGGGATAATCTTCTAGACACAAACTGCTGCTCTGAGTTTAAGGTTAAGGGTTAAAAAGCAGGTGACTGTTTCTAAAGGGCAGTAAGCATATATACAAAACATTAAGCATTGAGCGGCCAGTCAACATTTGCTTAAATTACGTATGTTATTGTATGATAACCAATGGGTTGGCCACCTGCCACTAACTCTTGCAATCCAATTCTCATTTAAACAAAAACATTTTCACCTTTCTAGGACTGGAAGGGGACCTTAAGGGAGATGAACGTATGCAAGAAAGATTTTCCAATGCTGTAGTCAAACTTGTGCACCCCTTAGAATTATGTGACATTTTGTTTCCTCATGCTATTTTTTCTTTTAATTTGGTTTTTACAGTTTTGGCCAAATGCATGGGTTTTGCCAGTCACACAGCACTCTACACCCTATCACAGCTGTCCCAGTATAGAGTCACCTTGATAGAAGATGTGTAGTATTATTACTGACACTTTCTCTGACAGAACCATGCAAAGGAGGGAAGCTGTAAC